AAAAAAAAAAATTTTTTTTTTTTCCTTGGGCCCCCCCCCCCCCCCGCCTTAAAGCCATGGGTTATTTAGAAGTATATGGTTTAATTTCCAAATATTTGGGTATATTTCCAGATAACTTTCTGTTATTGATTTCTTGTTTAATTCTATGTGGTTAGGGAACATATGTTTAGATTTTAATTCTTTTCTATATGTTGATATTTGTTTCATGTCTCACAAAGTGGCATGTCTTGGCGAATGTTCCATTGGTACTTGAAAATAATACATATTTTGCTGTTGGATGGAGTGTTCTATAAATGTCATACAGTGGTGGCTTACTGTTTCATGCTAGCTGAGAATCTATAAATGTCAGTTAGGTCAAGTTTGTTATTATTGTTGTTCAGATCTGTAGCCCTGTTGATTTCCTGTCTACTTGATTTGTTGAAAACAGAGAGGAATGTTGAAACTTCCAGCTATAAATGTTGACTGGTCTATTGCTTCTATCAGCTTTTATCACTTTTTGCTTCCTATGTGTATGTGTGTATCTTTATTGTTAGGTTCATACACATTTAATATTTCGATGTTCTCTTGTTGAACCCTCATCAGTATGCAATGTCCTCTTTTATCCCTGGTGTTATTCTTTGTTTTTAACTTTACTTTTTTATGATATTAGATATAGCTACTCCAGCTTCCTTTGGATTAGTGTTTGCATGGTGTATCTTTTTTACTTTTAACCTATATCTTTATATTTAAAGTGGATAGCTTGTAGATGGCATAGATTTTGACCCTGCCTTCTTAAAAAATCTAATCTACGATTTCTGTCTTTACTGGTGTGTTTAGAGCATTCCCACTTAAAGTGATGGATTAAAATCTACTGTCTTTCCAGTTATTTTCTACTGGTTCCTTCTTTTCTCTTTCTTTTTTCCTCTTTTTCTGTTTTCTCTTTGGTTAATTGAGCAATGTTTTAAAGATTCTGTTTTACCTTCTGAATTGACTTATTATTTAAAACTGTTTAAAGTTTTTATTGCTTTCCCCCAGGATTTACAATATACACTTTAAGTTAATTTGAATCTACCTTCATGCAATAGTATAACACTCTGTGTATAGTGTGAGGTCCTTTTAGTAGTATGTTCCCGATTTCTCCCTCTGTCTTTTGTGCTATTTTCTCATGCATTTTTCTTTATATATACACAAACACACAATTCATTGTTACTCTTCTTGCTTTAGACCAGGGGTTGCACACTTTTCTTAAAGGGCCAGACAGTGGATGTTTTATACTTGGAGTGGAGATGAAGCAAAACCCCATTTTCCTGCCTCCATCTCAGCCCCACCCAGTGATGCATTTTTATTTACTGTAGAAATGCATGATATTATTTTGCTTTTTACAAAGTGCAGATCATGTCACACAGCTCTTCAGCATGAGTTTTTTCCACCTGGGGGTCTTGGTGGTCCCTGAGAGTCTATATGGAAGCTTCCATTGGGCCTTTCCTATCCTGGTGGATGCAGCGTTTCTCTGTTCTTCAGGTTTACAGACAGGCGTGTGGTTCTCTCCCCAGCAGCCTCTCTGTGCAAACGCGTCCCTGTAAACACTGACGTGCAGAGGATGTGAAAGTGCTCTTGAGGGGTGTGAGTGGTAAGAAATGAACTCGGAAGCTTGGGCTTTGCAGGAGGGAATCATGATTTCCATGTAAGCAGTTGGCGCCACACCCGTGGCATGTTCTGGGAGTAGTGCTATCTGCAGAGCTGTGGGTTCTTCCAATGGGTTTCACAGCAGCGAGTACTGAGTGCAGCCCAAGATGGTCAACTGAACATTTGTATGTAACAGGAGTGTTTTATACTAATGTGTGTCTACTTTACTTACACATACACAATACCTGTAAGTAGATAAGACATGGGTATTGTATACATATACATGTACATCGAGTCTTCTCCAGGTTGGTTTTCCCAATAATCGCATCCGCCAACACACTCAGTCTGTACTTTGCATTCCAAACCATTGCTCCGACTCTGCCTCCTCTTCTCACCGAGCCAAGACCCCCGCTGGTGTCCACAGAAGGTTTGCTTCCACTCACATCCCTCTGTCCTCTCCCTTCTCTTCCAGTTGTGGCATTCTTGGTGGCCTTCCATCAGAACAAGCAGCTGATTGGAGACACAGGGCTGCTGCCTTGCAGAGCGTACCTGAGGAGCATCCAGAAGTACTTTCATGGGAGGGTGGGCTGGGATGCCCTGGCCTATGCCCCAACTGTCATCTGGCTGATGGACTGGTCAGACATGAACTCCAACCTGGACTTCCTTGCTCTGCTTGGACTGGGCATCTCATCCTTCATCCTGATAACTGGCTGTGCCAATATGGTCCTCATGGCTGCTCTCTGGGTCCTCTACATGTCCCTGGTCAACGTCGGACAGGTCTGGTGAGTAAGAAGAGCAGGGTGATCGTCACTCGGCGTTCTGTGATGGTTCACGCTGCAGACACATACAGGTCTCCTGGCAACTGGAGGGACTGGGCAGCTCTCTTCTCAGATTAATTCAGAGGAGCATCATCGTTTTACTTAGGCCATGGTGGAGGCTGTTAGGTGCCAATCAACCAAAACACAGTGACCTTTCTTCCTTGAAAATAAAATCCATATCTGTGTGGTGTGGCATGTCCCCACCAAGGAGGCCCCATTGCCAGCCTGCGTGAGCCATGGGGACTGGAGAGGTGGGACAGGAGCCCCCAAGTGGGGGCAGCACTCTGGGGGTGCCTGACGTTGTGGCATGCCCCTTCTGCCCTCACCCCTCCTAATGTGCTGGGGCCAAGACCAGACTCGCCGCTGGCAGGAGGAGTGGGCTCCAAGCTGCGGAGGTGACAATGGGTGCCAGGGATGCCACGAGGGGTGAAGGAGCTCTGTGAGGACACAAAGGGCATATCAGGGCAGGCTGCAGATGGATCACCTATGTGAGAGTCAAGGAGGGGCCAGGAAGAACGGGTTACTCTGACAGGCCCGAGAAAGGGATGCACTCTTATTTAAAGTTCTACATTCCAGAAAAGGGAGGGCACCTACCAGGGGAAGCACAGAAGACTCTGTGAGAGAAGGTTAAGTTCTGAGAGAGAGCTCTGGGGTGGGGTGGTTGACTGTGTAGACATGCAGGAAGTGGACGTGGGGCGGGCGTCCATGTAGACCTGAGGGAAGTGGATGTGGGGTGGGTGTCCATGTAGAGCTGCAGAAAGTGGATGTGGGGGGGGGGGGTTTTTGTAGTCCTGCGGGGGGGGGGTGGGGGGGGTGGGCATGTGGGGGGGGGGAAAGGGGGGGGGGGGGGGGGGTCCCTGGGGGGGGGGAGAAAGGGGGGGGGGGGGGGGGGTCCCTGGGGGGGGGGAGAAAGGGGGGGGGGGGGGGGGGTCCCTGGGGGGGGGGAGAAAGGGGGGGGGGGGGGGGGGTCCCTGGGGGGGGGGAGAAAGGGGGGGGGGGGGGGGGGGGGGGGTTTGTGTAGACCTGCAGGAAGTAGATGTGGAGTGGGAGTCTCTGTTGACATGTAGGAAGTGGAGGTAGGGATGCTGGCTCTGTAGACCTGTGGGGAGTGGACCTGGTGGTTGCTGTCTGTGTGGACGTGTAGCAAATTGCAGTTCCCCAGGCTCCTGTGGGAGGCTCCATGCAGGAGGCATCTGTCCTCTGGTAAATGCTCCCATTGGGTGGCTTGATGGCTTATGCAGAGCTGGTAGAGGATGTGGGGTCTCCTGGGGTTGTGGAGTGGGGCAGTGTCACTTCCTAGAGAGTGGACCTTAAACCCAGACAGGCGGAGGCTTGGGTCTTCGATGAGACCTTCAGTTTGACCTTGCTGACCTGTTCCATGGTCTACAGGGCTATGGAGTGTTGGGGGCCGCCTCCCTGCAGCACATTCTGTCCTCGCCTGCACCCTCTCCTCACTGGAGAGATGCTGGGTTGCTGTGAGGTGGGGTGGGGGCACAGGGTCAGGGAGGCCAAGCATGAGAGACACCCTGCAGAGAAGGGGAGGAGGCATTGCCCGAGTGCTGTCTGCAGAGCAACTCCACCTCTCGGCGACCCGACCCCCCACTCCTGGCCCGTGTACCTCGGCAGACACACCATGCCATTTAGGACTCCGTCCCTGGCAAAGGACCCGGGAACACTTGAGCAGCACTCCATACAGGTGGGGGTGTGCTGAAGTGGAAAGTAGGCTGAGTCATCGAGGAGACACCAGGGGCTGCTGCAGTTGATGGCTCAGCCGTGAGCACATCTTTCGCTGGATGCACGCATGGGTCCCCGAGCAGCCAGAGACACATTCTATGTGCATACACTGTGACATCCAGGTCCACACGGAAGCCATGCTGGTTTCCTGGAGAGGGGTTATTTCATTCACTGCATGTTCTTCTTGAACGGCAAGGGTGGAAACGGGCGTTGTTTCATGGCGACTGTGGCTGGTGCACCATTAGGTGGGCAGTCTCTGGTGGTCCTCACGCATGCACTCCTGTGAGGGGAGCATGCCTCCTCCTGCTCTCTGTTGCCAGGACTGCCTTCCTGCTGTCCTGATGTGCTCATCTCACTCAGTGCTGCAGGCAGGAGTCCAGTGCATCCACATGGTGATGGCGGGGGCCATGGATGCCTCCATGGCGGGGAAGTGGCTCGAGCAACACAGTCACTGCCTCACACAATGATCGGCGCATCCTCGGCACCTCACATGGAGGGTGTGCACTTTCACAGGGGTCCAGGAAGACTGATTTCGTCTCCTCCCCTGCATGGCCAGGCATCTTTGTGCATGTGCATTTGCTTTGCTTCAAGCAGATGCCAAGGTTGGACACAACTGTCCTGATAGCACACACCTCATTGCTGCTTGGCCACCTTGACTGTTTTTTAATTTAGTACGCTTAGTCTCTCAGAGCAACTGCAGACCACAGCATTACTTTGAGAACAGTAGAGTGCCGTGTGCCCCATGCCCATTTCCTGTCATCAGCATCTGGCAGCAGCGGGGCATTTGCCACTCTGCTCGCTAACTGAGTCCACACTTCACTCATATTCCCCAGTTCTCCCACCTCCCCTTTCCTTCCTGGGACCCCACCCAGGACCCCCGGGATCTCCGTTGTGTCTCCTTGGGCTCCTCTGGGCTGTGGCAGCTCTGCACGTGCTGTAGGGGTGCCGGAGAGCTGTGGGGGTGCTCAGGGGTTTCGCATGCAGCTCTTCCATGGGGAGTGTCTGAAGTTTTCCCCATGGTTCGACTGGGCTGTGGGTGTGGGAGGAAGAGCGAAGAGGAGAGCTCCTCATTCAGCGGGCCAGGCTCACAGTCAGCACACTGTCCCCACCAGTGTTGCCCTGAGCGCCTGGCACAGCATGCATGTGGGTTTCTGTGCCATGAAGCAACCCTTCCCCCTTCCCTTCTGCTCTCTGGGCAGAGGTCGCTATGTGCAGTCCATATGAGAGGCATGGGGGTCTCTGCCCATCCTCTCAGGGGCAGAGGATCTGCATGGTGATGAGGAGTTCTTCAGCACAGGGGCTTTGTGTCTGGTCCCCTTTTATCTGTTTATTCTGTTCTTTGTTGTGTCAGTATGGACTTGTGCATATTTATCTTGGTACTTTGAGTGTCTGTCCTCTTGGTCTAGGAATTTAAACACCTTGGGCTCAAAAACATTTGAGACAGAGAGAGCCAAGGCTTGACAACTGTCATTGCATATAATTTTAAATAACGTTCAGGAAGAATCATGGGCCTTTCTAAAACAACAGAAGTTCACGGAATGTTGGAAACCCTGATTATAGGTTCTACTCCAGTTTCCTCAGTTAGCATCAACTTTTCCAAAAACTTGGATTTCTGACTCTTTTATCTGTGCTTTACTTTGGCAATAACCCTGAAGGGTTTCTTTGTTGCTATTCAGGATGATGCACAATCAATCTTTTCTCCATCTTCCCAACCCCCAGAAGGAAGAAAAGATTATCTCTAGAAACTTGGACCAAATTCGGGGCATCTCAGGGGTCCTCCTTCCTGCAAGGAGCTGCCTTTGGCACTTCCTTCCCAGACGGAAGGGACAGCGGATCCACTTCAAAGAGTGCCCAGGGCAGAGGCCAGCAGCCGCAGGAGATATCAAGGGGCCAGTCCAGGTGACATTGTACTCAGCTGCTCCATTTTTAACTAACAGTGGTGAAAAACTTATTTTGGCTCCAGGACTTAAACATAAGCTTAAACGTAACAGTGTCCCACAAACACCCACGGAACCGTCTCCCCCACCTGCCTCACCCTGGTCTGTAGCCCCAGTCCCGAGTGGGTGCGGGGGCTGTGCCCCTCTCTCCTGCCTGGGCTGCTATCTGTTTGTTAGTTCATGTGAAGGGATTTGACAGGCATAGATGTATTTGATGCATAATGAATGAATTCCTATTTTAGTTTTACAAGGTTCAAGGACCCAGGGGTGCGAGGGGTGGCAGTCACCCCCACAGAGCTGGGTGCTCAGGGGTGCCCATCGTGGACATCTTCATGATCATTTCATGCTTCTAAACTACCTGGGAAAACTGGACCTGCCGCAGTTTGTCAGAGTTTGTCTCAGATATCTAACTCTTCCCTCGAGCTTAGTTCCTGCTTGTGAAAAGACCTCAGCTTTATGGGTAGCGCAGAGCACTGCGTGTTCAAAGTCCTGCAGGTGAGCGTGCTGTGGTGTGGGAGCTGACGGCCGGGGGCCTCTCTGGATGTCTGATAGCAGATGGTCGTAACTCAAGTCACGAATGCACCTGTGTGTAGGGCCCTACAGTGCATGGCTCACCCCAAGTGGAGGGCTGTGACCTCAGGCTGGCCAGGGGGACCCAAGACAGGGCTCGTTGTGCCGGGGTGCCTGCTAACATCCTCTGTTCAGCAGCTTCCAGAGCAACGTCAGCACTAGATGTGGATGAGCACAGAGGTGGTCCCCGCAGGCACTCACTGTGCAGCTCAGGGTCAGGTGACTTTCCTCTGGCCTCTCTGGTCTACTCTGAACATCTACCATGGGGTTGAAAGTAATGTCCGGGACTTTCCAGGCCTCACATTGTAGGTGGTTTTCTGGCCTCGGGTCAGTTGCCTTAGAAGACTCCCCACAGTTGGCAGTTGCTGCCCCGGCCCTAGACGGGAAGACATCACTGTGTTCTTGGCCTGCCAGGGGCTCTGTCCCATCTTGTCCAGCATCTCTGCCCCACCAAGACCTGCCAGGAGATATGCTTCCTTCCAGCCCAAACGTTGGACCCCCCCTCATGGTGGTTGTAATTACAGAGTTTGGTGTCCAAGGTTGTAGAGAGTTGCAGCCACAATAAAGCGAATGTGGGAAGCAAAGGAGGGATTTGTCCCCCAGCATCCAGCTTGTTTCCTTTCCATCGTGGCCGGGGTGGTGTGTGGAAGTTCTGCAGCCATTGCATGCTCCCACGTGGTCCTATGTGCGTGGAGCAACCTCACAGGATAAAGGACTAGTTGT